TCACGACACCAGCTTCGCGGAAACAAGAGCTGCTCTCTCATCAACCGGTTCGACGCGACCGTCAACCGCCGTCCGCAAGAACCAATTGGAGCACCGGCTTTCACAGCGGCCTCCTCCACAAATCCAAATCCCACAACACAACATCATGTACTCTCAACAGCATGCCGCCGCCATGGCGCCGCAAAAGCCTGAGACCTTCATGCTGAGCACCGAGGCACAGCAGGCATTGCCCCATGACGCCCAGGTCGCCCTTCAGCAGGTCGACAACCTGAAGTACTTCCTCATCTCTGCCCCCGTCGACTGGCAGCCCGATCAGTACATCCGCCGCTTCCTTCTGCCCACGGGTGAGTACGTTTCGTGCGTGCTCTGGAACAATCTCTTCCACATTTCGGGCACCGACATTGTGCGCTGCCTCTCCTTCCGCTTCCAGGCCTTTGGTCGGCCCGTCAAGAACTCCAAGAAGTTTGAGGAGGGCATCTTTTCCGACCTTCGCAACCTCAAGTCCGGCACCGATGCCTCGTTGGAGGAGCCCAAGAGCCCCTTCCTTGACTTCCTGTACAAGAACAACTGCATTCGTACACAGAAGAAGCAGAAGGTCTTTTACTGGTACAGCGTCCCACATGACAGACTCTTCCTCGATGCTCTGGAGCGCGATCTGAAGCGCGAGAAGATGGGCCAGGAAGCCACTACCGTCGCCGTCAGCGAGCCCGCCATGTCTTTCCAGTACGACTCGTCGCAGTCGCTCTACGAGCAGCTCACCAAGGCCCAGCAAGCCAACTCTTCATCTTTCAGCGCCCAGCAGCAGGTGTCGTTCCCCCAGTCCCAGTCGACCTCACCCGTCATGAGGGCGATCGACTCGATGCCTCCTCCCCAGATGATGCCTCAGTCAGTCCCCCCCATGGGTGACGGCCTCGAGTCCATGGTGCCTTACGGCGCCATGCAGATGCCCTCTTCCATGCCCCCCTCCATGCCTCAGGGCATGCCTCCCCAGATGCCGCCTCAGCAGATGGTCAAGCGTGAGCCCGACTACGGTCGTCCTCAGTACAACCAAAACGGCATCCCCGTCAACCAGGGCCATCAGCGCCACGCTTCCATGCCCGCGTACGGGCTGGAGTATTCGCCCGCCCCTTCGTTCGTGTCATCGCAGTATGAAGACTACAGCAACGCGGCATCTCGTTGAGCCCATCACCCCCTCCCCAGCAGCTTTGGCTGGACGCTGAGCGGGCCTACATTCCAACGAGGAGACTGGACTGTACACTGCCATTCCTGACCACATGGTCGGCGGCAACGGTCTGAACGGCATGATTCAGCTGCCTCCCTCTAACCTGGCTGGTGCTCAGTTCTCGCGCGGTTACGGCGCCAACAACGTCTATTCTGTCATCGAGGGCTCGCCCACGTATAAGCAGAGGAGGCGACGCTCGTCCATCCCTCCTTCCATGTCCGCCATTGCCGCTGCCACGGCTCAGGCTCAGGGACAGCAGCAGCAGCAGCAAGCTCCTACCCACAGGCCTTCTGAGCTTCGCCGCTCAGTCTCGGCCTCGGTTGGACCGGTGTTGGAGGGCGACGAGTCGGCAGAAAACTCCCCGCCCGGCCTCACGTACAGCACGTCTGCCATGCATCTCATGAACCAGCAGCACAAGGACGTACTCGACATGTCTCGTCACGGTACGCCGCTGTCGAACGTGGATGGTAGCCCGGCGCTGAACCCAATGGCGCTCCAACAGCAGGACTTCCCTCAGCTGACAAGCGAGGACATGTCGGCTGATGGCTCCATGGCCGTCTCGCGTGCTGTCATGCATGGTCCTAACGGCGCCGTCCGTCGCGCGCGTTCTGCTACCGTCATGGAGCTCGGCCCTTACCCCCAGAAATCACACTCTTGCCCCATTCCCACGTGTGTCGCATCTTCAAACGCTTGGAGCACCTCAAGCGGTAAGGTCCAATTTATTTCATTTGTCATATTAAACGACCTGCCGTGAATCTGACCAAATCATCCAGACACGTGAGAACACATACACAAGAAAGACCCTACATCTGCCCTCATTGTAGCAAGGCGTTCTCTAGATCAGACAACCTAGCACAGTATGCCCCTACTTTTCTTAAATGTTTTTCATTTGTCATTTCTTTTGTCAAACGCAACTTTTGCCATGATGCTGCATGGCTCCCCCGACTACGGGCCAACTCAACGAATCCGACACCACCCTCAATCGCCACCACCTCACACAGCCCCCATCCGACACGAAATCAAAAACAGAAGCATATCAAGCAGCATTGACTAACGATTGTTTCCTCACAGACACCGACGAACCCACGAACGTGGCGAAGGCATGGATGGTCCCGTTAACTTCTCTGGCGAGGAGGAAGAGGACTACTCTGGCGAAGACCAGCTCGGCTCTCTTGAGGAGGCCTCGCCCAGCTCCGAGAACGCCTACATCACTGCGTCTCTTAACGGTGTCGCTGATGGCCAAGTACACGGCAACGTGGTTGCGCCTCAGACCTTCAACAGCCTCCAGACGCTCAGCATGCCCATGACGCTCAGCCAGCCTGCCATGCACAGTGGCGCCATGTGAAACGACGATGACCATGATTGGAGCGGGCGCTTGATCTGCGGAGGGCGCAGACAGGCAGCGGTTTTCTCGGAGTTTGGTGGGTTATGCTGGGCTATTTCGTTTGTCTTCCCCCAGCCACGGCTGGGGAGAACACCTGGGCCACTCGGCTCTTTCTTGAGCGATTTCATTTCAGTGTTTTATTTTTTTTATGTCTCTTTCACGACAAAGGAGGGTGCTCAGCCATATAGAGGGCATACCTCGCTCGCAGATGCGCATGCAGTGGACCGAGGATTCACGCATGGACCAGATGGTCCCACGCGAAGGGGGAAAAAAGTCGCCCTTTGTATATATAGTCCCATTTTCTTTCTTTCTCGGTCAGGGACCGGACCCTGATCAGTGGGCAGAAGTGATACCAGAGGATGAGAAGAGAGGAACTGGGTCATGTCTACTTGAGAGGAACTGGCCGTCGTTTTAAAGTACAATGACGCACACATATTCGACATGTTCATATCAGATATCGTTCGATTTGGTCAATATATGATGTTTGCTTCTTCGACAACGGTCTAGGCAATGTAATGAATCAATACGCTTGGGAATATGATGAGAGAAAAACCAGCTGACTATGGGCACGACGGTAAGAGGGCGTTGAAGACTTGTCGTAACAGCCATCTTACCGACCTCTCCGCCCCCGACCACCAAATTTGCCTCCCCTGCCGCCTCTGCCCCCACCACTGCCCTCAATATTCCGCACGTCGCGATCACTGAGCTTGAGCTCGGCGCCGCGCATCCTGCCAACCTCGGGCCCGTCCAGCGCCCTCTCGTGGCGACCCTTCTTCTCGGCCTTCTTGGCGGGCGCCACCCGCTCGAGGACGACGCCGTTTTCGCGAGCCTCGCGGCGGCGCTTGTCCTCGCGGGCGTCGCGCGTGGCGGTGATGCGCTTGCGCATGGCCATGGGCATCTTGGCCTGCGTGAAGAGGGAGGGGGACTGCTTGGCGAGGGGCGCGCCGGCGGCGGCGAGGGACTGGATGCGAAGGTCGGTCGTGCGCTGGCGCAGCTTGCCGGCGGCGAAGGGCTTGGCGGCCGCGGCGGGTGGACGCCGTCGTCGGGGTTCAGGGAGGCGAGGAGGTGGGATTCGGAGAGGAGGCGCTGCAGCGCAATGTCCTGGCGCGGAGCGTCGACTCGTCGTCCGGGCTCGTCTGACGGCTTGGCGGGCGGCGGCGGCGGCTTGTCCGTCTGCGTAGGCGGTCGTGAGGACTGCCTCTTACGTCAGTATGTGTGTTCAGAATCATGGCCCTGCGTGCGTTCTTGGTACGGCGGACCCGAGGGGGGCCACGAAGGGGGGGCGGGGAGAGGCAAACGGACCATGAAGGCTTTGAGTTGGCGTTTTGTCATGCCGGCTGTTGGGTCGTGGGGTTTCGAGTCGGTGTGGTCGACGACTTCGATTGCCTTCTCGGCTTCGTCCTCGGACACGCCGTCCCATTCTGAGTCGACCTCTGCATCGTCTTCCAGAATCTCTTCCGCCTCGGGCTCGGCGACCTTGGGCTTCTTCGTCTCGGGGAGAGGCGCGAACTGGGCCTCGAAATGGCGGCGGAAGATTGCTTGGGCCTCTTCTTCTGAGATGGCCGGCTCTTGCCCCTTGCGCGACTTGCGCTTGCCGAGGACGGAGGGCATCTTGCTGGCCCGGCTGGTGGTGGTGGTGGTGGAGGTTTGAAAGCGATGGTGATGGGGGGGGGGGTGTTTCGCCAGACTGCGGTGTGGAAATTTCTCCTGCGATTCTCCAAAGCTGTCAGCCTGATGGAGAAGTGGGGGAGGTCGAAGTCGGCTAGAATGATGGTGATTGGTCACAAGGACCTCAAAGTGAGACTTGAGTGCAGCCTTATGCGTGTTCAGGGGTCTGATAAGACAATAGCGAGGCGGGCGGGGAGACCCGATAAGAAATTTTTCGATGTGAAGGCTGCAGCTCTCGCTGTCTCTCTCTGTACAGGAGATGCGTGGTGTTGCATTTCGTCGTCCTTCATTCACAATCGACAACAGCCTGCCCCTACCAATCGCCCAGGACTGTCGACCGATTGCGTACCCGAAAACCGAAATTACAAAAGAAAATCGAACGAAGTTTACAGAATGCCC